GCAGATTCCGTTTAAAAGTATCAAATTAAGCGATTTCAAATTGTTAAAGATGTTCAATCAATCAAATATTTTCATCACTTCCTTGCGTGATTTAAGTGACAAAGTTGCTGCGAGCATATTTAGAGATTTAATAAGTTTGATCTGAAAGACAAAAATGATTTCTTGCAAGTTTCGCTCGCCGATATCCATGCTCATTGTTCGCCTTTCAGTGTTCCAATTGAAAACTGTTTTAATTTTGGTTGTGTTTATTATTAATTATTTTTGTTACTATACATAATTCATTTTTACTGTTCACTATAATCCTAATAATTAAAACAAGTAAAACAGTTCCATTGAAGGTAAAAAAAAATCTATTCGCATTATATATTTTCAGATGTTTGTTGGAATTTTCCTTCCAGTTCAAGTGGTGTTCACGTTGCGGATCGATAAACAACCGGTTGGACCAAAACTTCGTTTTCAAAAATTTGTCATTAATTTTATAACGTTCGCGTAATTTTCATGGTAGCATCTCATGAGTATCTTGATTCTTATGAATTTCGATGCCATATGATTCAGTATTAGTTAAGTAATTCAGTGTTAGTTAAATAAAATTTTTAAATAATTGTTTTTGTCAGTCTATACTTGTTTGCTGCCCAGGTATTGCCACATTGCGTTAAGCGTAGAGTCAGACGAAGTTTAAGTTGAATAATTTTACTTGTAACGGCCAGTGCTTCGATTCGAAGTCACATGCATGGCCTCGAAATATGCAAGGATTTATTCTCTAAATACGTCTTTGCTTATAGCAGTACACTGAAAAAATGAGCACAATCATCGATGAGGGAAACTTCTGTAAGAGGTCATTCTTATCCTTCAGATCAGGCCTATTAAATCTGTAAATATGCTCTCCGCATTTCTGCTACCTAAATCACGCAGGGGTCATTACAAGTAAAATTGCAAGTGAGTTTCATGTTTAAGATCAGATAGTATTTAGATATTATATGAGTGTCATTTGGAAGATTTACCATTGATCAGCGAACAAGAGTACAATTATTTGATCAAATACTTCTCCTTTGACATATATGCGCAAAATTTTATAAAGTCACTCGGTGCGGAAACTATTGTTAAGGTGCTTTCTGTGTTCCTCCCTTATATTTTGATTTTTATTTACAGTTTACCAGTAATTATCTACAGTGACTTGTTGGACGAAAGATGAATTTACAAAGTTTCACTTTCTACTTTATTTTAATTTACAAAACATCAGCTGTTTTGCCTACACTTGTTTGAAAATTGAATTTTGGTATTAAAATTTTTCCTTTTAAATAGACTAATAAACAATTGAAGAAACGGATAAATGTTTTTAGAAAAAGAAAAAGAACAAAAATCGTAATTCTAGGCTACTTTACCGTCTCGAGGTACGGTTCATTATGCTTATCCAGACTGGGAAGCGCAATTAATGCAGTTGGCAAACGAGTCCACAAACGGACTGAAATTGAAATTTCGAATTTATCTGCGAAGAATGCGTATCCAGGAACAGACTGGTATTTTCATAAACTAAAGACATTTTTCGTTTTAATCACTCTGGATATAGAATCCATAGATATAGAATCTAGAATGATTAAAACACTACTTTCGAGTTACTTAAACTTTCAATTCTCAATATTCAAACTCTTGGATCTGTCGGGGAATATTGTAGTCATTGTTTGAAGATGATTAAGATATTGAATCACATCTCTTTCATTGATGATTACGAATCATCTCTTGTCAATCATTATTACGAAGTAATAGAATAAAGAAAGCATTGCAGTGCATTTGGCAGTGTATTTGAACTTCGCTATCTAATTTAGATGGGAATGTGATTCAGTTTGTTTAAGAAACAAAGAATACTCAAGGATTTATTTGGAAAATAATTTTCCTTAATAAATTCAGACAATTTACTGAAAAAAACGGATACAACACCGCTGGAAACTGCTCGTGAATGGGAAATGGAAATAGAGCGACAGGAGTTGAAACATTTTGCAGATGTTAGCATCATCGAATTCACTACCAAAACGCTATTCATTTTTCTAACTCCTACTCATAGCAGTTTCAAATCCTAAATTGCAAGATGTTTAACTTGCTATATTTAGTTCTGACTTCAAAATATTCTATTAAGATATATTAGACGTCTTTCTTATTTAGGTACTTAAATCATCAAACTGCTCAGATATTTTCGAAATAGATATTTCGGAAATAATTCGACCACTGATCACTGTACCCAACGGTGGTCTAATGTATGAAAATCCAACCATCAGTGAAGATCAATTCAATCACCGTTTCGCTTATTTCAATTATTCATTTAAATATATCACAAGGTTAGTTTTTTTTTCTTGATTTGACAATATTCATACGAATAAACATGGAATAGATTGTGTCATCTCTATTTAGGCTGAAGAACTTGCTAACTTATTTATATGTTCCATATTTACAGTGACTCATCTTAGTGCTTTAAGCGTTGAAGAAGAGAGTAGAGAAAAAGTTTGTCGAAGTTTTGAAGATATTAATAGTCTAATATTTGAAATAACCATTCCCCAACAATGTACTATAACTTGCTAGTGTCTGTCGGGAAAAGGTTTACAACAAAGGGCTCTCTCTGCAACGTTTAACCATTGTAACTGAGACTGGTAAAAAAATTGGAAAAGTTAATTTGGATGACTTATCACTTTGGGTATCGAAATATTTATTTTACTAATTTGTATAACAAATCATTTATCTGAGGAATATTCTGAATTCTAGTTAAAACAATTTATAATATTTTTTCTGCTTCGCCGACAGCTGGGATGGAATCAGAATAAGACTTACTTTGCTAATTCGTTCACAATGTGTCAACTTGCTTCGGTAAATTATCTTATTTTCATTGCTAGAAACTTAATTAATTCCAGATTAATGTTAAAACCAGACTGTGCAACTCGTGTAGAGGGAGTTTCGGTACCGCATATTGTTACGTTGGAACAATATGGCGTTAGCCATGATGGTTCGATGATTGGCGCAATGGGCGCACCACGATTTTTATTTTTTGTCTCTAAAGTTTCTTCAAGCTATCTAAGACTTTTGAATATTTCTACTCCGTATGTTATACCTTTTCACTCTGAATAATTTTCTGGTTATTTGATGTTATCCGCTTTAAACTATACTAGAGCAGTGTCTATTTCGGGAATGAAGTTTACAGTTTCAATCGCCAAATCTGTTCTTTCGATCCGTTTAATAGTTAAACTGTCAGTATATTTATCACAGTATGCTTGTAATTCTTCAGCAATACTATACTTTTATTTATTTATTTATTTTTTGACCTACTGAGAACGAGTTGTTTTCAAAAAATAAAAATGAAGAATGTTTTAATTTACCTCAAACGAACTTAAATATTCTATTCTATTGGGATTTAGGTGCAAAATCGCGAAGGGCTTATAGTAATATGGAGTAAAAGTTGAAATTTCCGAAATAACACTCCAAATTTTTAAAGTATTCAATGATTTCAGGTCATTGGTAATGACATTTGCAATGGTGTACTTGCTTAGCTTTAAGCTGCGCGATATACTGATGACAAAGCCATTTGAGCTCACTTTTCGAGAATTGGGTGATCCAAGTCGTTTAATACGACTTTGCGCTAGTATAAGTATAGGTAAGGTCAACTTCAGTGATTATTTGAATTATTGAATGTTTAATGTCAAAAAATTAAAAAAGTGTCAATTGGAAGCCAAATAATATGATTTGAAGATGTATAAGAAAAGAAAAGGTTTAGAAATTATTTTGCAGCTCGTGAGGTGAAATTATATGATTTGGAGCACAATCTGTATGGGAAGCTGATTTATATTTTGCGATCTTCAGAAACATTAATTCATTATACACAGTACAAAATGAAAAATATTATTTGAATGCTGCAACTTTATCATTTGAGTCACTTCTTTAATTATTAAAGTTGAAATTAACTATGAATCACCAATCAATCTTCAACTGCTAATTACTGTTTAACTTGAAATGAAAGAAAATGGATCAACAGTGCCGGGAAATCATATGACGCTCTGGAATAACAACCCACTTATTGCTGAATTTTAGAATTGTTGTCTTTTGTTAAGCGGTATGTTTATATCGCTACCACATTATTTTCTGAGAACCGTTGATTTGACAAGTTTTAAAATTTGTTGATAAAATTAAGAAAGCAGTTCTCGACATGAACTTTGGCTCGAAAACAATTTCCTCATCTGGAATCGACACTTAAAAGCAGTGTAAAGGAAAAAACTGAAAAATCCGTTGCCCTGTTCCAAGGCATGATTTTTTCGTTTCAGACTGAGGCACAAGAAGTTAAAATTTGCATCTGAATATTCTACAATTACTTTCAAAACTTTTCAGTTCTCACACTCTTCCTCTGGCGCAATCATACCACCGCCATTTTTTCTGTACACTGATGTATCACTGTTGATTTCAATAATGGATGGGAAAACTTCCTGGCAGTTAGGTAGACCAGGATTCTTTCTCTTCCACCTTTTCGCGAGTTCTTGTAGATCTTTTCATTTGACTATTAATATCTGACGTGCAATCTTGACCACCTCTTGATGTTCATTTGTATGAAGTCTTTATTATGTGTTGTGTGATATTCTTTTGCTATCGATATGAATGTTATCATCGCATCTCTTTTAGGCTGATTATTTATGATTTTGAAATTCAAAATGGTGCTACTAATTTTTAGAGATATTCTGTTAGACAAGTCTCATCTCATCGTATTTCTGCTTAATCCTAGTGACTAATTTGAGCTTTTTTCTATCTTCATTTCTGTTCCTGTACATGGAATTTTGTTACTGATGAATAAATTAAGAAATTGCTGTATAGGAAGTGATTATCTCAGCCATATAACTTTAAGCCAAGCCGATTTCTATGTTCGGATAATAGAATAGATAATCTGTGTCTAACTATATCTCTTTCCCACTGGATTAAATGAGAAGCTTACTGGAAGTTTATTTGTTTTTATTCAGGAAACATCTTTGGCATTTTTCAGAAAATAATGTGATACCGAAAGTTCATGCCGTAAACAAAGATTATTTACTATCCATTTTATTCTTGATGGATGAAATGAATTATTAATTTCATGGATGTTTCACCATCATTGATTATAATATTTTTATGATTTTCAGAAATTAGGAAATTTGTAAGAAAAGTTAAATTGGGGAGCCTAAAAGTTTGATGTTTTTTTTTAAAAATTAGAGAATACAAAGTTTGGAAGTTTTGAGTTAGGTCCTGCCTTTACAGTTCTTACTTTGACAGTACACTGTGCAGATATTTCAGTTGTAACTCGTGGTATGCGCACACAAGACAGTTCCGTGATAACTCACGAAAAATTTCTCAAATATTTACTAGATTTGACTTTTGTCTCTAAGTCGTAACTGCCTTAATTAACCGGAAAACTTTTACCAATTTTTCGATCAGGTTCAAGAATAAAGTAGTGTTAAGGTCGGTACAATCAGCAAGTATTACAACAGTATCTAAACTGGGAGTAAAGTTTACTTTAATTACCGAATTAGATTCTATGTATTGCTGATTCTTTCTTTTATCTTCACATTGTTTTCAGTTCAATAATTTCGAATTTCAGGGCCAATGAAGCATGCTTTTCACGAAGATTCTGCAGGGAATGCCTGTTCAAACTGTCAAATTATGCAATTTAAAGTAGAAATTCGCAACGCCAAAGTTAGACTTCAATTCTTATAATAGCTCCTTGCCATTTCATCGTCTGCCTTTTTTGCGTTCACACGCAAAATCCTCGCGAGAAGCGAATATCGCGCGATGTCCTCGTATTTGATCGGAAGCCAGAAGATTTTTAGTAAATAGTCAAATTCTATTTTAGCTCAATGAACTGCAAGCAAAACGTAAAGAGCGTACTGATAGTCATATTTCCAACATTTCAAAAATGGTTTGTGATTATCTTATTTATCGCAATCTTCTCTCTCCCTTCACATTCCAAAAAAAAAAATGAATTTGCTGTGCTGTAGATGACCAAACCAATCATTACGTGTTTCAAGGTTAAGAACCATAATGCTCGCAAATTCAACTTTATTTTACAAAGGAAGGTAGAGTGATCTGGATTGAAGAAAGAGATGGCCAGACGTTATAACTCACCAAGAACTTCTAACAATCTGAACAACAACATTACAAATAAGACTAGATCGTAATGTTCCTAATATGAGTGATCTTTCAGCAGTTCATGCAAGTTACTTATTGTTATTTGCAAGTACACCATAAGTAACTAAAGTTTTAACCCCTTATTTAACGACAGCAAATTAATTTCGAATTAAATTTTGGGGAGCAGTTCCTTTTATTAACTGCTAAGACATTACATAATTACTCTTCTGAGCACGTTGCAATTCTAACACTTACTTTCATTGAGCGACCACAGATCTCATTTTAGGACGGAGACGCGAGGAAAAGTGCTAAGATGTTTGCTCGTACCACAAAGATGATTAATTGGGAGACTCGATATGTAAGTTATTTGTTTATTCAACGATTATTCAAGACGTTCCAGCGGTTTTTGTCTCCAAAGTCTACCGTGTGGTTGCCGAAATTGTTATCTATGACAGCTTTAATCCATTCACCGATTGAGTTGTCGGTATTTTTCATATTTTCCAAGCTAAAAACTTTGTTTTCTATAACAATACTGTATAATATTACAAAGAAAAGGAGATGTCAATAATCAGTTGTCTCTTTTTTGTCAACAATGTTACATGATATCGTTACATGATATCAGCTATTCTTTTCTCGGAATTTGAAGGAAAGAAACGGAGAGCATTTCAGTGTTATTCTCCTAATTCAGTGTTAAATAATTAAGCGATAGTTCTGAAAAGCGTGTTAACGTTTTCGTTAAAGAAAAATCTCGAAAAAAAGTTCAAACAACTCGAGGAAAATATGGTCAGCCAGAAAAGCGCTTTCGAATCAGAAATCAAGCAGTGTCAAAATGAGAAAGATGAATTAAAGGAACGGGTAATCCGAATATTCTGCATAGTTTTGAGAAGAGCGCTGCATGCATCTTTCTTTTTCAATTGTGTAAATAGATATATCCTTCTTATTCCTATTGGTATATTATATCAGAAAGAAGTATTAGCTTAATTCAAAACTTCAGCTACGTAACGTTGAACGCAAAATTCTCACTCTGAATTTGGCGTTACAGAAAAACTGTAACGAAGGTGTGGAACTATTGGCAGTGAAGGAGGTAGAATTTCAAATTACTAATCCATTTCCAAATTATCGTATTCATATATCGAAAAATGTTTCTTGTTTCTGCAATATCAATGTAGGAATCTCAAATTGGTACGGCTGAGATGTCGCCACATTTTTAGATCAGGAAAACTTTTCACGTCGCATATGTTTTGTTATATCACTCTATTAACAATCACCCTTACTTCATGAAGTCATCCATGGCATTTATTTATATAGAATGTGGAAAAAAGATTCAAGGAAGAACACGAGAAACAAAAGAGAGAAATGGAAAATGCTGCAAGAAAAAGGCTAGAGGAGGGAAAGCGACAATGCCATTTGAAGGCTGTAGAAATCGTTCAATTTGAACGTATGCTCAAAAAAGCTCACGAAGAGAATATGGAACTTTGCTATCGCTTTCATAGAGCTGTTAATTCTCTTCAAAGCGTGAAATTTGCTGCAGAAGAACCTGCAAATTTCCAACACCACTTAGAAGAGAAGTTAAGTGATCTTGTGAAGAAATTTCGAAATGAGGCAAATAATTCGGAAACAAAGGTGATGAAGTATGTATTAAATTATTTTGAGGCTGCAGTGGAAGTTATCCTAAGTGATGAGCCTCATCTCTGCTATTTGATCAGATCAAGCACAGCCTTGGCTTTAGTAAGGAGTGAAGAAACAAATGAAAGGGTATGTAGCTTATCTTTTATAATAGAACAGGTATAGAAGTGTCTTGTTGGATTAAAATTAGAATAGAATGAATATAGGGTGAAATGAGTTGTGGTGTGATGGCCAAGATTACTTACTTATTTTAATGTTTTTTTAAAAGGTGAGAGAGACATGTGGTGGTCGTAGATTTATTAAGATTAATCATAATGTTCGTCTTTGAAAGGTTAGGTAAACTGCCATTGGCGTATTTGCTCACTTATCCTACAAATCAGATCTTATTTTTGCCTACTTCCGGAATTTCAAATTTACTTCCGATCTTAATTAGATTCAAAGCTGGAAAGATTTGCAAAGTACTATACTTCGAAATTTTTTAGCTCCAAATAACGACCGCAAGTAGCAATGCGAACGAGAAATCTGTTAGGAAGGAAAAGAAGAAAGCTTTGGCGGTGCGAATTCGCATAGAATTTCTTTTGCATAATTATTGTGTACAAAATGGTTCAATTGTTGGTGATGATCGTTGTTGAGCATGAATTTAATCGTTGATGATTCATAGATATTTAGATCTAGCTTAATGGATCACACAATTATCCTAAAGCTAAGTTTGTTTCATTCTCCGTAAATGTGACAACAGAATAAGGCCACTAATTGAGATTCCCGACGTGGATCATATCAAGTAACCGAACAATTTCAGAATTGCAAGAAATTCACATCAAAAATTTATCCTCTGCTGAAGAAGTTATACCAGGAAAAAATGGAAGAACTAGCTAACTTTGCTTGGCACATTATAAATCACGTGGGACGTACTGAACAGATAATGGTTACGTTAGCGAAATCTGATTCCAGTCTTTTAAACAACGTTATCGTGTGAATCCTATATATTTGATCTGATTGTGAAAAACCCTAAGATAACTCGTCAATCTTTTTCTTTTTGTCATAAATTACGCCTATATGGTAGTGAAATACTTGAGAGAGAATACCAGAATTGCGTAAAAAAAATGACGCATTAATTATGGAATTTCCATAAAAAGCGTACTGTGCAAAATATTAGAGAGATGTGCAGGGATGTGTCGGCGACTCAAATAATATTCTTACTATGAACGAATGTGCACGCAATGTTTCTGGAGGAGATATGATTGGTAAATTCGAAATGGTACGCAACAGAATCAACGGAATGTGTCAGAAAATAGGATCAAGAATTTTGGATAGGGAGGAATTGGAAAGACTGATGGAAGAAAGAAATAAGTTGGCGGAGACTTGCAAGAAGATTGGCTACGAACAACAGGTCTGTTTTGAACAGACTTTATTGGGTTTCTAAATGTCCTCAGTTTTATATAATGAAAACAGCTACGGTAGACTGATTGACGTTTGATTATGCGGAAGATTTTATGGAACTGAAACTTATAAAACTTCATACATTCTAATTTTTAAGGTGCCCAATCTAGATTTCCTTAAAAACCCGAACGTTTTTTACGAAGATTCATGTTTAGGAATTTGAAGTAAAGCTAATTAAAGCAGAATTAAAATATGGACAGCTATGTAGACAGATCCGTATTAGTTTAAAGACCGCTCTGCTATCAGCTGGAAAATTTGATATCACTATTCGAAAGGAATATGAAAGTAATGATACAATATTGGGAGGCTCATCTCGAGGAAATATTATAGAGTTCATCGAACGCTGAGAGTTGAACTTATTTTCATTATATTGTACGTTTTCAAAATGAGTTGCAACTGTGCTCGATTATTCAGTTTGTGCGTTATCCTCTCGTAAATTTCAATTCTGGTTTTTTTTTTCAAAGTTTACCGACGAGCTCACAACTCAACGGAACCACTTTTTTCCAAGTTGGAACTGTATTTAAAAGCGAATGGATAACAACAGACGACACAATAAGCCTCGAAAGTAAATCGAACCAGAATGAACTCGCGAACTGGTGTAGCCTTTTTCTATATAGTGAACTTGTCCATTCATGTTCCTACTACAAGGCTCGATCTTAATATTTTCTTTCATAAAACACCCTTTTGTAATGTCACATTACAATATATAAATAGTGCTTGATTTCGTTTACTCAACAGCTTTGTCTAGAATATGTATATCGAAGCAGTATTCATTTATGCTGATACTCCTTTCAATGTGTAACTTATGTTCCAGTACTTTTTATTCCACACTCATCACTTATTACAGTGCGTTATTTTCTATGTCTCGCCTTCCTAACTAAACAGCATATTAACCAGTCGTTGGGCGTTGTGTGGCTATTGAAAAAATTTTGAATGGATGCAGATGTCAATGCCAAATTTTGTTCGATAAATGATTCAGCTCCAACCGAGCAATTTTACTGTGAATAGAACACAAAGCAGCAAAAATTTATCATTTAGCTCAAAGTACCAGTCTTTTCAGATGGAAAAAAGTTCTCTGTACGTCACACTTAAGCCAATCGTCTTTTATGTTCTTATCCAATGCTTAGAAGTTTCAACCTTCCAGCAAGCTTTTTGTCGTTCGGGAGTCACTATTGCAATTTTCATCGACATTCCTAACCAATTCCTGCAACTTTTCTTCCAGCTTTTCACGCCTCTCACGTTCTTCGTCAAGCATCCTAACAAAAAGTGAAGAGGATGAGTTTGAAGTAGGATTAAAATTGACACCTAAATTAATTTCAAATTGTTATTAGAAGTTACTGCGTCATCAATCCATCCATTCATCATATAAGCTGTTAGTTGTCAAGAAAAAATGAATTTCCAACAGAAAGTAGCATCTTTTTAATAACGATCTCGCTATTTCGATATTGCGTTGCTCTCCGCTTAATCTTATGTCCCAGCAACCATCAAATAACTCGAGATATGTATAAGCGTCTAATTAAATATAAACGGCCCGATAAACTAATGACAGCTCTAAAATTAACTTGGAACAAATGTGTACTTATATTTCAGGTGCTTGAATTAAAAGACATGCTCTCGCTCTCAGTAATATGGCGATCCTTCCAAACCGGGAAATTAATCTGCATGGCTACTCATCGAACTTTTTCATTTCTTTAAATTCTGCTACCCCAGCGCAAAAGCCGCAAAGCACATATACCTAGCAGCTATCGTTCTAACGATTTCCTCGTCGCGAAGAGCCCTTCTTTGATTGTCTAGCAACTGCATCAACCGTTCATTTTCAGACTCAAGTGCCAGTCTCCAGGACAAATTTTTGTCTCGTAGTACACGGCACTCTGTGCTATACGAACATTCCCGGTCATATTTCCGTAAATCCTCCACCGATCTCCGTTCTATAGCCATATTCATTGCTATAATTTTACTAATAAAAATGACTGGATCTTTTTAAACACTTTATTCAGTTCGAAGATATCATGACTGCACTTCTGTATGATAGAACCGGAGTCCATATGTTATTAAATGAATCAAAGTAGGCATTACCGAATATCCAGTGTTTTCGTCTTAATTCATCGAAATGACCAAATCTGTATTTCTGTTTCGATTCTGTAGCAAGTAACCACGTAAATCGTTCCTCATCGAATGTGCCTACCTAATGGATACTATTATCAAGGGTTAAACAATCTTATTAGCAACAAAATTTTAGACAAAGTTCTTGCACCATTCCTTACCTCTAAAATTAAGAACCTCATATTGTCGGCCAAAATACTAAAAAAACTTCAGCTCAGGATGGCAATGAAATATCTTCCCGTTTCATCTTTTAGTAAGCTATCAATGATCAGGGTCCCGCTATAGAGGGTTTCGTCAGTGATGCCCAAGAAAAAAAAAGAAAAGCTCTTCAATATCAGCTTGCAGTATGGCTCATTCTGATTTTTTGATGAAAGTAGCAGTATTTATGTAGTATCGATAATTGCAAAACCATATGTTCCGGAAATTTCAGGCTAAGAATGCGTTACTCTGCTAAGATCGGCATAGAGCAAATGATCAACCAATAATGGTCATATAATTTTGCTCGTTCATAAAAAAGGAAAGGACAAACTTGAACAGATGATGTCTGACCGGTAACGATTGTTCTCCTGTTTCTAACAGTTGTCGATTTATGCAAAGGCCACAGATGTATCGCACCAGGTGTTACGGTACACCAGTAAGCCCGCCATTTGGAATTATTGTTTCTTATCAGGCAACGCTTCTTTTCATCACTTTTGCTGCAGTGTAGTAGAAAGCCCTGAAATTAAAAATTGAACAGCTGCAATTCTCAAAACAGAAAAGTACTTCACTATGCAGCATAACATATTACATCATAAATTTAGTTACCTTTTCTGAAAGGTGTGTCAATATTGCTTATCCACCTTCATCTCAGACTTGCAAAAAGGGAAAAAAGTAAAGCTCTGATCCTAATACACAAGAAACAATAAATTCAAATGTAATTAAAGAAGTGGTATCAATCTAGAAGTGGGTCAAATAGGAAAAGTGAAGGATTTGTCAGCAAATGCTAACCATTCCAGAATGTTCCACGATTCATACCAATTTTGCCTAGTTTATAATTACAAATCTGAATTTGCGTTCCGCTTCAAGTTCGACTGGTTAAACTGACGTGGTATGTTTAAATATGTTAGGATTAAAGATTTTGCTGCGCATGGTCCTGCACATTCAGACCATTCCGGAACCTCTGCACTGCGGACTGTGTACAACAGGAACTGGTACAACTCATCCTTTTTTTTTATTTTGCTTATTCATCGTGTAACCGCTTACCAGATCTATAAGACTTCCAAGGAGAAGGGGAATTAAATTACTAACGAAGAAGCAAAGATCAAATTGATAAACTACACCACTGGGAAATTAATGCTCACATTAACGACTAGCAATTATCACAATGCGGTGTTCATAGGTAGTTCTCAGAATAACTTTAGAAAAGTTCTATAAATGGCAGACCTTACAAATAATATGCTGTACATATCGCTCAAAAATCCGATCTACCAATGGTTCGAACTGTTTTCGATCTGGGAATAGTAAATCACACATCCGTAACAAATCATGGAAGGTTACGGGGTCGGACTGTACCAAAGCTGATAAACCGTTCTGTGCCTGCTGAGTTCCATGATTTAATCTGGAATAGTTAGAAACGAGTACGTCTTTCCACTATCTTCATCGACAATTAAATAAATGAGGTGCAATGTCCTGGACACTTCTTAAGATTTTTAATTCGAAAATTCACCCAGATTATTCTTGGAGATTATTTTCAATTCATTCCTTCTACAGTTTCTTCGTCTTCTGATGGCTATTCTAAAAATCGCGTGACCCCAAAATTTGCGTCCAAGAATGAACACCTGAACAACTGTCCGATGATAAAATGAGCTTGATGTGAACTTATATAGTGTTGATTATCACTAAATACGGAAAACATCCGATGGAGACGTTGCAGCAATGGATCTTCAGTGAATACAACCAGATTTTTCGTTGCAGAGGCTGATGATTCTTGAGCCATTCCGGTGACTAAATTTATGCCATCATAAATTAGCAGGGTTCCCAATCGTATATGTTGGAATCAGAATGGCTTAAACACTTAAAAAAATTTTGAAGGCTTCAATTTTAATATAGGAGCAAGAGAAGACTATATTATGACATGAATGGATCAAATTCAAACAAAATTATTTCAAATCGATTTCCGTGGATGTTGGGCATGGTAGTCTACACAAACAGACAGGCCTATTTGTTAAAATAACTCCCAAAGTTTTGAAAAAAATCAATCTGGAAATTAAGTGAAGGCATGCCCGTCACCAAGTATGAATTTATTAACCGGTAATATTAAGGAAAACAAAATATGGAAACTTTTTTCAGCCGATAAATTTTTCAGCCCAAAACCTGTTCGCACATAGATCACTGTAATTTCAAGTCTAACTGGTTAAAATTAATTAAATTTGGAAAGAAAGCATCGAAAAAACTTCTATTATTTGTGAAATATATGCACACACAATAATACGACATCCTTACTACGTCAGACAGGCCGATGTTAAAATTTTCCGACCTTTGTAACACAGCGATAGCTCGCGAATAGCGTCAGTCTAGTGGATAGTGAACTCAATAAATGGACACTGTAAGATAATAGTGGATAAAGATTGGCTGGAAGAGTTCCACTCATCATTCTCATATTTCAGGCATCAACTCATAAATACCACTCATAATACTACCACTCACATGCGATCATAAAATTGCTCATGTTTTGGGACAAATGATGCTGTAAGATAACAGTTATACAAAATAAATCAATTGAAGGGGCATCTAAAAATTATGAATAATCAGAATAAAATAGTCACAAAATCATGCGTAAAATACAGAAAATACAAGGTATGAAATAATTGTACAAGGCGACTTTAAACAATCACCCACTCACTCAACAAACTGGGAAAATAATGATTATGGAATAAAAGTGGAAACTATTTTTCACAATGTGCACTTAACGTTTCACGGGAAACACGAACAATCCGCGATAAATTTTGGCAACTGACTATACTATAGTAGAAACGAGACATTTGCTTTAGAAAGGATAAAATCTCAAGAGATTTTATAGATTTCCTAAAAAGTGGTAATGGAAATGGGAAGTACTGCTACACTTATGCCTATTATTAATACTGTTGTGCTAAACATGCTAAATGTCATCATAAAGCGCAACTGTTAACATTATCAGTTTGGAAATAAAATTAACCTTACTAATTTGTTCCCTCAAGGCTTCACCGACAACTTACTTAAAAAACAGTAGATACTCAGAGAATAGGTCGTATGTCACATACAAACACAACACATACAGAAAAAGCCTAAACATACGCACACACATACACATACACACACACAGACATACAAAACCCAGGTGCAAACATATCTAAATGGTAAGATCTCTTTTTGCAATCATGCAGCTAGCGCCCAAAATATGGCTGCAGGACCATATCATATGACGCTATTCTATGTGTGAATGTGTGGCCTTGTGCGTAGGTTTATGGGTGGATGTGTCAGTATGCAGCGTCTATTGAAAGGTAGAGCGAGAAACGGGGGTAACAGCTGGTCTGGAGCGAGAAGCGGGAGTAACAGCTGATCCCTCGCAAATAAAGGTGCCAGTGGAATGAACATTTCTTCCCAACAGCGGCTTCAATGTTTCAATCTGTACAGATTCGTGTTGAAGGGTATGAGGAAAGATACTTATTTGAAATGAAATAATGACGTATAATGACTTATGAAGTGAGATAATAACGTCAGTGCTGTGTACGCGTTTGTACTTATTCATACATACGTGCTTCTCTCTGTGCACCCAATCTATACATAGCCAACAAGATAGCATGGTACAAAATGTGACCATTATTGTTTTTTCATTTTAGATGCACCTTCCGATGACAAGAGAGGAATAAAAGAACGGAAACAGCTTCTAAAAGATAAGAGATAGAGAACGGAAGGGGAGCGAGAGTTTTAGGTTTATATTTCCAAAACCATCTGTTAATCTTCCTTTTTGGCGTGTAATCTACAATGACATCGACTATCCCTTGTGAAGGATGGGCTCAGTGTCAAGGAGAGTCCTCCGCTACCCAATAACAAAACAGATTGTATGGTACACTTTGGGTCATTCATTACTTGAAGAAGATATGACTAAAGGGAATATAGCAGTCCTGGTAGAGGGAGCTAAGTCAGGTGGGTTGACTGGCTCTATCCTTTGACATTCTATGCAGAAAAGGTAACTGTGTTTCATCATGTTTCATCACAAGGGTGAAGTTCATGTGAATACTCTTTGAACTTATAGGAGGTGATGATGATGATGGGATGAGTGGAGTTCTCTATTATTTGTCATTCTTTCATTTCTTTCTTATCAATTCGTCAGCCATCACTATTGCCTTTGATCTTTTGTCGAATTTAGGCACACAGGTAAATAAACTGACCGTACTTATGTCGCATAACGTTTAGGTCTACTTCCCATTCACCACGCTTCTACTTTCTCCATTCTCTGTCTTATCATTCTGGTATCTGTCACATTCTCCAAAACCTGTTCTTATTCTATACCATGCCACTAGAAATTCTCTTTCCCCGAATGGTTTGTTTAGGCTTAGATTGAGACGAATATTTTATTAGCCAATCTTGTCCATGTGTTTTTTGCGGTTTTTCAGATTTTCAGTATCTCTTTTCTTTCTTACTCTTAGTCACCAACAATGCAAGCAATACCATGTGTATGAGTAGTACTGTCCCTGTCTATTTGTTCCTTTTTGCTTAACTTGACCCAATCTTCTATAACTACCATTCGTAAGAACAGATGATTACTGAACATAGCGGTGTAAATGCGCGGCAACTGTTTAATATCATGCACTTATCTGTGTATCTTTTCCACTGTTGGAGTAAAATATGTATTTCAGGTGTACAGAATGGTCTGTGAATGTGCATTAGTGGCACTTGGCTGGGTTTTTCTCTTGTATTTGCTTTATCATTTGGCCACAGTTCTTTATAATCTCATTTATCCGTTCTTCATTGCATCCCCTATCAATCTACACAAAGCTGCCGGTGGCGATTGGGCAGGTAAGGAATACGTGTTTCCATTGATTTTTTGCCATAGCTAGAAATAGAGTTTAAATGCCACTGTAGAGAAATAATACTTTATTTCAACAGTATACACAAAAATGCTATCCACAATTATAAAAAGTTCTCATTTAATTGTTTTCAGTTGTTACCGGTAGTACCGATGGAATAGGAAAAGCTTATGCTTTCGAGTTGGCAAGGCATGGTTTCTCCATCATTTTGATATCACGTACTCAAAGCAAGCTGAATGCAGTAAAGGAAGAACTTGAAAAAGAATGTGGCGTCGAGGTTTTTTATCATATATTTGTTTTCTTCGCGAAAGCACGAACTGAAAAATGGCTCTAACTGATGTTACCAAAAAGACATTGTCGGTCGATTACCAGTTGCATTAATCAATTCTCCTTTGGATGAAAACTATTTACTCACTTGTTTTCTTGACATTGTTAATCATAGTCTTTTTTTGGGTTCAAATCTGTCGAAAATTCAACAAATAAAAAGAAAAAAAAACCAGAAATTATATTGATTACTCTTAGGTCAAACAGAGCTACAAAGGAAGCTACTAATTAAATATTATCTTAAAATTCCTATTGATTGATTCGAAGCCAAGTATTTTACGCACTTGTTCTACTTATAGGGAAATGAAATTCTGAACTTGAATTATTTTTATACTTCATTTAAAACTACTACCTGACCAGATAATTCAACATTTGCAGGTTAGAACGATTGCATTTGATTTCACAAGTGGAAGTGTTAACGAATATGAAAAGACGGTATTGTCATTGCTGAGAGAGTTGAATATTGGCATATTAGGTAAGAATTATATACCAGCATGATATGTTTGATGAATAGTGGCATAATTATGAGGCTAAGTTTCATATTTTATTTTCCTGAGGTGCCCATCTTTTAAAAATATTCATTACAAATAATCATTTGCAAATTTAAAAATATTCATTACAAATAATCATTTGCAGTTAACAACGTTGGTGTAAGCTTCAGTTATCCGGAAATTATCTATAAGGCGGAAGGTGGCCTTCAAAGACTTGCAGATATCGATATTGTTAATACTCTTCCCGTAACTTTGGTAAGTTTTAGATATACTAGTTAATTACCCATTCGAATCTTCAGGTATTGGATGCATACATAATATGTACTTGTGTGAAAACCACATTCATTTTTCAAGAATTTTTTCATGGCTTCTGGGTAATCTTTTGAACTTTTTCCTTTTGAAGCACCGAACTTAAATCAGAAAAATTTGAAACATTAGCTCTATGAAACAGATTTATGTTATTATATCTCATAGAATCCATCATGTTTTATATGATCAGTAAGGGTTTAAGTTCGAAATTCCAATGATTTATTTTCTATATAATGTAATGAAATTTTCCGAATTAGTTCGAATTATTTCATTATAAATCTCAAATTATTTTGCAGTTATCTGCTGCAGTATTGCCTCAAATGGTTGAGCGTAACAGTGGCATTATTGTGAACATATCTTCTGCTGCTGCTTACAGTCCAGTCAGCTTGCTCAGTGTTTATTCAGCGTCAAAGGTAATGATATGACTAAAGTTAATTGACGATAATATTAGTTGTTCAGTTTAGTTTCATCACCTATTGAATATGAGTGAATCCTTCCGTAAAGTCAATTATTTTTTATCTCACAAGATAAATCTGTTGTATTACAGAAATATGTCACTTGGTTTTCAAATATTTTACAAAAAGAATACGCAGAAACGAATATAATCATCCAGACCGTGTGTCCTCTGCTCGTTACTACCAAAATGTCTAAGGTTATGTTTACTGAGTGTTACTTCCACGAAGCTACTGATACAGTTGTGATAGTTTGTTAAACCTTTCATCTCATTAAAGTATTTTGCAAATTTCTAAAAAGTAATAAACTAAATCTTTTGACTTGCAATCCTTCTGATAAGCAATTATAAATCTGTTATTCTATTGTCCAATAGGCAGCTTTGTCCACGGACACATTTGAAAAAGAATGTTTTGCAGGTTTCGCGTGCATCATTCTTCTTTGTAACAGCCGAAGATTTCGTGAAAAATGCAATTCAGACGATTGGAGTCGTGAGTGAAACAACGGGTTGTTTCCCCCATCAGTTGCAAGTTTGTTTATTACTATTTTGAATTGCAGTCCTTATCTAATAAGCTTTTGTATTGATGACAGAATTAGGGTAGAGAGTTTCAGCTTCCGATATTCCCTGCTTTTTCTTTAATTTTACAATATGAAATCCTCGATTGATATGCATCTCCGTCTTCTTTTTTTGTAGTGTAGCGACCGAACTTTATTTAGTGCCTGCTGGAATTTGGCTTTTTAAAATTCCATTGAGATGACTTTTCTGTGTCTTTTTTGTGTCTTCAATTCTAGTCATTTTGTCCATTTCAGGCTGAAATTATAAAGAACTTGCCGGAGTGGATTGTTGTGCCTTATTTGAGCCAAAAAACTGAACTTGTTCGCAAGAAAGCACTTGCAAAAAAGGCACGCGATATGAAGGCCACTTCGTGATTCATTTTTATTTCTTGTTATGACAGCAAATTAATCCTTTTATAACATTATCGGATTTATTCACTTTCTCACAGACTTGCTCGTGTGAAGCGTTTCTTCATGAGCTCTTTGTTCAGGTACGGGAAGTGTATCCTCCAAGTTACCTATAATTGTTTAATTCTGCAAACCCTTTCAGTTACTCCTGTAATTTTGCAACACTTTCCAAAATAAAGAAAAACCACTCTATTTGGAAAACAATTTGAAAGTCAAAAAGATTTAAAATGTAAGTGAAGACAACATTCATTGATTCAGCTTATATTCTTTGATGATCTTTTCAGTGGCATCATTATAAACTCGTGGTTCAAACTGGACCCTCTTGGTCCCGATCTTAATTTACTTTTCCGACCCTCGTTAATTTGGCGAAATTTTTATCGTAGCTTGAAATGTTTACTTTTTCGACAAGTTATAACAGGTTACGATTGGAAGCACTGTACTTATTTCCTCTTCAAGCACATGAAGCCGACGAGAGTGCTGAATTCTTAGATCGAATAACTTATTTGATGAATAGATGACAGATGAAATCTGTCATGGAATTTGTCATTTATCAAGCCATCTTCTACTCATCAGTAAGTTCAAGTGTAAAGAAATCATTGAGTTCCAGGATTACAAAGGCTTGGACCAATAAATTCTTGTTCACGTTCGCTCTAGAGGCAGTCTTTATAACGTTCTTTGCCTTTTCAAAAAAGAGAAGGCGGTTCACGGTTTTGTTCACAAAAATCCAATTGGCACGGATGTTGCCAGATCCACCTATAGCCTTGAAAATTGATACAGATCTCGCACCAAACAAAGATGGATGTCTGGGTTGGTGTTAACCAACCTTTGGTTTTCCTTACACTGTAATCAGATTGGGTTTGGTAATTGTGGATTCTGGATATCCAGTTTTAAATCCCCAAATTTCACAGCGAATACTATAATCTCCTGTTTATAGCAAGTAAAATATGTTTACACTTCTGAGAAAGTTAATAAACCAGTCTGTATGTTTCCTTCGACCGAATAAGAACGATATGTTATCATTTCCTCTATGACTTATTTGCATTCTGTCACATTTTTTCAAAAGTGAGACGTTCCTTTTTATGAAGATAGATAAGATCCAACAATGAAGTTACAGTTGGAATCGAATAGAAAACTTTGTCTTACACAGTGCAACTCTTTACTGTGTGAAGAACCTGTACGCAGAAGAATGGAGGGAATTAATCGAGGTCCATGTGGTCGTCCGATTTCTTCTCCGCTTCACGAACAACCTTTTCATTAGTTTCCTCATCTTCAACGTCCGATTCCATGCCTATAGAATTAAGCAGAACTTTGAATGACACTGCTGTTGAGTAGTTTAGTAGTCGATATCCTCATAACTACAAGCCTCACTACAATTTCAAGTTGCACAAGAATTTCGGAATATCGAGTTGCAATCTGGGCGTTAAAAAGATTATAACTTGACTCGTTTTTCGCTAACATTTTCAGCAACTTACCAGGATGGGATGAAGTTTCAATTTTTGTTGCAATCTTTTCCTTTCCATCCTCACTTGCTGTGAACTGTATCGCCCATGCAATCATATCTGCAGCTTTTAATGATGAAATGAAAAAACTCCTCCATGAATGAACAGTGTTAGGGCCTTTATTCCCTAAATATTTCGAAACAGGTTCGCTCAATTTCTTCATATTGCAAAAATTGTTTAAAAATCAAATTTACCTCCGCTTCCAGCAGCTGTGGCTGTATTTCCATCAATGCCGAACTGTCGCAATACTGGTGCTAACTGTCCAGTCTGCAAGGCGTGACCAAAAATATCAACTGCCTGACGAAATTGTGGTGTACGAAGTGTTTGTTCCAGTTCTTCTTGTTTACTGTAGATGGGCTCCTTGATACAAAAGAAAAAAAAATTGGAAGTCAATAGATGCAATTTTCATTATGGAATATCTAACGTGACTAGTCAGATTTCTGGTGCGTTCTGGATAAAGATGAAATGTCAATATAAATGACGGAAACTTATTCTCCTTCCAAATTCAACTGCATAGTTTTTAACCTGGAAACTGAATTAGCTTTCTTGACTGCAATTAGTAATATTCATTTTATTCCATTCATCTACTGAATATCGACAATTTTGAAATGGTCTTAGTTTAAACTGCCGAAATAATCGGCTTTTTGTTTCTTTTCATAAACATTATCGGAATCTCCAGAACATATCTCTGCCACGGAACTAATGAGCATTAAGCAAAACATGAATCCCACCAAAATTCGATAGAATAATCACTTCAAATTTAATATTCACAAATTAGTTATACAATGCTAATAGTTTTAGATGTGTCGTTTTAGTTCGTTAACTTCACTGGGAAGCACCAGAATTGATCCGTCATCTGTAGTCAACAGTTGTTGCTGTTGTATACGACAAACAGAGGCACGAATCTTTTTTAAAAATATACTCCTGACCCAAATTTTATGCAGTAGTTACTATTGCATATTTGGATATCATAAAAGTAATTAAGGGCAAAATATACTTGAATGGGTAAATGAGGAGTTAGTCGCTCCGCATATTTCCCCAGAACATCCTTGATTTTGTCAGCACAGCACAGCACATCCGTAAAGTCAATTGAAGCTAAAACAATAGTCAACAGTTGCAGTAGTAACTGTTATAAAATTTATGAAATACGACGCATTACTTTGAGTTACTCAGTGGAAGGCAGTCGTTTCCATTGTTAACTGAAAGACTGCAAGCAATTCTGGAAATCCGAACTTCGAAAAATGATGTTATGAGAGAGCATGACCAGTCACTGATAATATCTTTTTGAGATATCATCAAACAAAATCTCCTAAAATGGAGTTATTTTCACGGTGATCCCTCCTTCCTATGGTACTAAAAGATGAACCATGGGATATAAAGTACAAAAAGAAGCGCAACACTGAAACTACTTCATAATTAATCTAATACCACCTAATAAAGCTTTATTATACGAATAAAAGTACTCTAAAAATTCTTAATGTGAGTGGGAGGAGGTGACGCTTTTTTTTTGAAATTGATATGAATCAGCAACACCCTTACATCATATTGATGTTAGTTGCTGTATTATCCAAATTTATCTAAATGCTTGTTTATAGTTTTCTCACATCTTCGTCTATATAAAAAAGATACGCCAGAGAGTACTACTTAGAATGTTTCAGAACCTACGTTTTTTTCCAGGTCCGTCAGGTGGCGTTATACTTGCAATAATTTCTTTCAATTGCGACAGCTGCACTGCGTTATTTGACGAGCTACCGGCAATAGTTCCATTAGCAGGTGTATTAGATGGTGTTGCTCCCTGTGTGGATGGTGCTCCACTTTCTTCTGATGCCGCTCTAAATTATTTAATAATCCATCATCAAAAATTCTAACCCTTTCGAATCCTAAAGTAAGCTAATATTTTCATTTTTAAGGTATTTTTTTAAAGTATGAAATAACGTTCCTTCGACAATGTTATTAAGAAATGAAGGTATAACAAGCAAATTTAAATTATTTTTGGAATCATTTCTATTTGAATTATTAAATTCCACCTCATGTTTACTTGCCACTATAAAGATGCTTTCAGTACAGTCAAACTGAATTATTTAAGCTGTAATGATTGAAAATTTTTGAGAATACAGCTGTTCATCAGAAACTCGCCGATGTTAGTATCGTTACACCACCTGATTCTCATCGGAGAACTGTGAGAAAAGAGACAGTTTTTGAATACTGCTCAAGTATTGTTCAAGGCAACTAATATTGATATGGCGACAATAAATAGAGACGATAAATTTAAAAAGACAAACTAATTCAAGAATGTTGCTTACGCTAAATATCATTTGTAAAATGAAAAACAGATTAAAACAAATTAAGGAAATTATTTCAACATAAAAATCAGAAATCTAACAGATGTGGTGCGTCGGTAACAAGTGGAAGTTGCGGCAAAAGACTGGCTGCTTCATTAGCTGATGCACCGTTGGTATGATTCATTAGTGAAAGTAATTGCATCAGTTGACTTTGATCTAGATTTCCCAGTGCTCCAAGTTCACCATCCGCACCGGCACTGCCCAAAGCTGCTAAAGTACCGAACGATGAAGCACCAGCACGATCAGCTCCTCCGCGTGCTGCTGCTCGTGGGGCTGGAGGATTATTCAACATTTCATTTACCTAGAACACGATCCCTTTCTGCATCAATGCATTTCTGAATCAGTAATAATCAAGCAGTCAAGAAAAAAAATCATAATCAAGGAAAAAAAGTACCATCAAGAAAATAATCAACTTGAAGACTTAGTACTCTGAGCAATGATTTTTGTGCCTCGAACTGTGATAAAAGAGAATGTGTTCCAAGCTACATAACTGATGCTAGTAGTTTCCATGAGAAAATACCGAAAGCCATGGGGTCAAACACCTTATAAATGTGTAAGACAAATCTTATCGCAACAACATATTCATTTAAATGTCACAGTTTCTTACCTGATAAAGAAACTATATATCGTAAAAAATTATTTAATACATAAAGAGAAACTAACTTTCTTGCAGTTTTCATCGTCCTTATCAGTTTTACCATCCTGCATCCAAAATAGACGTTTTTCATCTGTACTTTTGAATTTCAACATATAAACGCGACCGTCTGTACATTCCTTTACTCGCAAAAATTCTGTGTCACCAGGAAAAATAATCAAGTCCTGTGAGAAAAAATCGCTGGAGTCTATTTGGTTACAACGCTAAGTCTTCATATAAATTATGTTTTCACTTTATGTGACTTCTTTCTCTAGAATTATGTGACAAATTATCGGAGCAAAAACTAATATGTTACTATGCAATTAGTTCTAATTGCAACTGTCAGCCATCGCAGACCAACCCTTGATTCCCAAGATATACATATCTGAAGAATTGGTAAAGCATTTAAAACAATTCAGTTTGCTCAATTTGCTCATATCGACAATAAACAATTTTTTAATTATAAATAAGCAACTGTTGGGATAGTAGCAGAGTATAACAGAACAAAAGTGAAAGATGAAAACTCACTCTTTGTTGTTGGCTTCGTGTCGCTAACCATATAACAAAAAACTAATCGCTACAATGAGACGAAAAAACTAGCTAAGTATGAAATAAGATAGAGACAGATAGAGAGAGAGAGAAAGTACTTCCTGATGACGGTTGCTACTGTGAGTAATTACTAAAAGTTTAAATACATCTCGAATATATTAAATCTTAAATAAAAAGAATACAATAAGAATACTACTAACGTCGACAACCGTTCCAGTTTCACGGTTTTTCCAGCAAAAATGCATCAGTTGATCACTGGATTGTTTGATAAAAATTAATCCTTTTGTTTTATCAGCGACAACCTTTCGCCTATCCACCGTCGAGCCTGCTTGTAAATCTGACCGACCAGCCTTAATCAGTGTTCGTTTTTAGTACATTAATCGAAACTATAAAATGCATAACAAGCTGAACACAATATTCACCAACCATGTTGCTAGTGTTCTAAACCATTTTGTCTCAGATTCAATCAAAATCGAAAAGGTCTTTACAGATAATGTTAAGCTTTTAGAATACGTGCCATCATATGTGTAAGTGTAAAACCATCAAGTACACCTTAGAACAGCGAAAAGTTACCTTGAACTCAACCAAATAACCATTGTTCACTTGACTGGATCGTGAGTTCGCAAACATAACACTCATATTGACAGAAATTTAAGGGAAATATCGTTATCAAACTTCTTGAATTTCTGAAAACTAAAACCTGAATTTGGGAAAACAAATTTGATTTTACCATGGGTCTAGAAAATCTCTGCAAGCTAACCTATGATCTATGATGCAAAAACCTCCTTCTTCATTGGATTACAGAAAATTATTCCCACTTGACTTTAATTATCCAATAATATAAGTGACCGACAAAAAAAAAGAGACTCGACCTTTTGCTCTCTCATTACTTTGAAAATCTTCAGATGGCACCAGCTTGCCCTAAACTATAATTTGTCTGATCTTTTCCCTACAACTATAGTGCAATAAAAGCGGATTGCAATAAGCATTTTCAGACCACCTAACATTGCTAATCTCATTTTACATTGCGCAAATCATTAGAACCGTACTGCCTTTTTTTTGACTAAATATTCCCCATCAGTTTAATATTGTATGAACAGCAAACTAGGATTTCAAAAGACAAAAGGAAAATTGTAAGATAACAGTAATTAACGAAGAAAACGAGAGAGTTTCAAAGCCTCTAAAAACATAGAAAATAAATTAAGTCGACGCTTTTATTTAAGTGAAACATGGGAAAATAAAATCTTGCATAAAATTGTCTATATTCATATATGAAGAAATAGTAAAACTGATACATGCAAATGTGAAATGGAAAAAAAATAGTAAACAAATGGTACACATATCTACATACTTCACGATAAACTGACAAACATTTCACATCCCACCGTCTTTCAAGTAATCATCAATATTATCTGCCAGTATACCATTATGCCTCAAGTAATCATCAATATTATCTGCCAGTATACCATTATGCCTCCTACCAAATTGACTTTATTTCATAAAATAATAAGTTGTAATAAAGTAGGAAGCAAGATTTGCAATTAATTAGTTGGAAATAACTGAAGCTAAACTTCTAGAAGCTCATATTTCAGCGATTTGAAGAATGCGCTCGACTTCGGATTTTCCAGAACGTCCAACAGATCTTCTTGTGTGAGAATATGAGACAGCTTTGCAAGATGAACATGATAGCATAGGATATTTTTGTCAAAAACTGAATAATCAGCAGCTTTTGATAGAATCTGAAGAACTCGTGGAACTTTCATAGGTAATCTTTTAGAAATGCATCATTGACTTACTTTTTAAAATATAAAAAAGGACGGCTGTAGGGGGTTTTCAAATTGTACGGCAAAAATTCAAGTACTCCATGAAGTGCAGAAATGCC